GCACGATTGGCAAATTTCCAAGGCGCACACCGGTCCGCGATTTGCACATGGCATTCAAAATCCCATACGTATATGACTTTATAACAAAATTATGCAGGCAACAAGCAGAAGTCATACAAAATCATGATAATGAGAATGTTCGCAACATCGGACAAAGCGAAGCCCGGCACAGAAAGCATAAGAGGCTTAAAATTGGCGGCGGTCAGGCATACGACCGTTCAAATGACTAGACTGCCGTGGTAGCTAATACTACTAGGAAATATATATATACATATATAAAGGGCATAATCTGCTGTACCTAGCCTGGACTGACAGAGGCTGTGTATATATTGTACATAGAAGTAAGGATTAAGTGTGTATTTGTAAATGTATGTAAATACAGACAATAGACTTAATACAGACTGACTGACAGGTGACAGACTCGACCTCTCCTCAGAGAGGGCGCTACACATGGGCAGGACGGTAACTTTCATTGAAAAGAAATATCTGATCATGAGCCCCAGCTGGGGCTCGACACCAAGACAAACAGACTGACCGACCGTCAGTTGTAACATGACCCTCTCCCCCCCCTGCGTGATAATGTGGGATGTTCCCACAAAACAATCAAAAACAGTAGATTAGTCATATAATATAAAATAAGCATAAAAATAGTTGACAACTTCAGGTGCAACTTAGTCAATAACAGAAATCAAAAGCACGCAAGCCAACATGCTACAATGCATAGTCATACACATACCGTGTATATTTCACCAAAATATAATTCATGATCACATATGCAAAACTTCACAGTAATAATTAAATAGTTAACAGACCCTTGTTCAAACATGTTCTTCAAACTAACATACAAGATGTAATACCAATCAAGACAAATAAAACAGGATAATTGCGTAATTTGTAGTTTATGACATATTTCTATATCAGTTCACTTGTCGTCATGATCTGTGTGTTCTCTTACATTACACATTATATCCATTTCTGTTGGTAGTATTCTTTCATGGAATAAAAGGAGTGATGAAGTAAAAATCTCTTCAGTGCTCTCTTAAAATTTGGTACATCCAAAGTCAACTCTTTTAAAGTTTGAGGTAAATGGTTGAAGGCTTTAATACCCGCTACATATGCACTCTGACTATACTTTGTGCTATTTTTAGGATGGAAGACAAATGTTCAACTGTGTTCTTGATCTGTGCGTGGTTTTGGTTGTCTTCACAAACGAAAATAACTGTTCACAGAGGTAGGTGGAACCAAACATGGCCAGTATTCTCGCAGCAAACTGGCACATTTTAGAGTACTGGCTTGGCAAATAAAAAAAAAAAATTGAGGGATACCAATTTCATTATATTTGTCTTTCAGTATTGAATCACGCTGCATTTCAATTAGTTCCATTTGAATGTTACTATCTGCCTTCTGAACATCGAATGAGAATGGAGCAGTAAACAAAGAAAAATCGTTCTCGCACGATTTGAAATCTTTAAACCTATTTTCAAAGTCATTAATTAAGTCCTTTATTTGGGAAACATAACTGGTAAAATCAGAATTACTGTGGGACTTTTTGAAATCCTGGCAGGTAGGAAAATGAATTAAGTTGCCATTCTTCATCTGTCCTTCCCAAAGTTTGAGCTTTAATTTAAAAGCCTTAATGCTGTCATACAATGAAACTACAAGTTGTCTTTTCCCTTGTAGCTTTAAATTTAAGTCATTTAAATGACAGGTAATGTCCTTATAATTAAGTCAGTATCACAGGCCCAGATAAACACAGCTAATTGTGCCACACCACTAACATCTGTACTTTCATCAACTGCAATAGAAAATGCCGTGAATCTTGTAACTTCTTTTGCCAACAACTGTTCACTTAAATTAGTCGCAATATCATCAACCCTTTTGACAACAGTGTTTTGTGACAAGGAAATGTTTTTGAAAATTTGAACCTAATCGGGACATACAATTTCTGCGGTTTTTACAAGACAAATTCACTTTCGCTAAAACATTTAGAATTCTTTGCTATAAGTTCTGCAATTACATAGCTTGCTTTAACAACGGATTTATTGTCTCGTTTCACGTTCCTAAACAAAGACTCTTGCTTGACGAGTGCAGCCTTAAAATCCCGTAATTTATCTTCCCTTGACTTTTCTTTATACTGGTCGTATTTTTCACGATGGGTTTCGTAATGCCGTCTTACATTGTACCCTTTTGGAACACTTATATTTTGCCCACAAATCAAACATGTAATTTTACCTTCTATTTCACAACAAAAATAAGCGATTTCCCATTTTTCTTTAAAAACACGGCGCTCACTTTCAATAGTTCTTTTTTTGCTACTTTAATTTTTTGAAAGCGACATTGTTACTGTTTAATTATAACCTTTATACACGTTCATCACAATGTAACATCAGCATCTGTCGCTGTGTGAAAATGAACTGAATGACAAAGTTTGCTAGCAGCCCATTAGACAATGGCTTGGGTTTGCAAGCTAGTTTTGAAAGTAGAAATCCCTTGCACTTGTCTGTCAGTTGCCACCCTCCTTGCATTCTTAGTATGCCTCCAGAAGGGATTCTTGGAAATACTTGGGGTGGTGAGGCTGTGCGGATTTTAGTGCATTAACCTTCTGAAATACAGTAGTTTGTCCTTCACGAACTTTACGAACCGTTAGTTGGACAAACCCTTCTGCAATTCTCAGAATCACTGCTCCTGCAGCCTGCTAATTTATGTCTGCGTGAGACTTCGTGTCTTCTGGTCTGTTGGGAAATTGTCTTTACAAAAAATATTTCTACTAAAATTTTAATATTGATTTTAATATCAATTAGCTCTAAAAGTCGAGGGGCCGCACTTTGTGGCTATGGGGGCCACATGTTTGACATGGCTGCTGTAAGTCATCGGATTGAGTCAAACCATGAAGCATATATTTGTGAGTTGGAGCTCTTGGACTCTGTAATCACCATAAATGCAATATTCCTCTATCTTAGAAACCACAGATCTTATATGTTGGTAGGCCTATGTCTCCAAAACATGATAGCTACATATTAAAACTAGAGACTATTTCCAATTTCTCTTCAATTCGTAAAATTTCATACTTATTAAAAGAATTACATTTTACAAATATAGAACAAGAAACAGCAGGGAAATTATTGAATACTTTGAAATGTTGCTTCACCTGTGTGTGTTTCTTGTAAGTACATGTATATGTATATCATCTTGATAGAACAAAGAATTTTCTTAGTTTGATGCATGCCTTTATTTGAGATACGTTCATTACAGTACGTACATTTCCTTGAGTTAAGACTACATTACCTAACAACGTAAAACATGTTTTGTTACAACAGTAAGTAAACATGTTTTAAATGAACCCATCATTTCGCTTTCCAATGACTACACTAGTACTAGAATAATAGCAATGTTACATCTTCAGATATACAGCATATTAGTGACTAATAACCATACTTATTTTATTTTATTGAATTCACTGTGAATTATGGTGTGATGACTAAGAGAATGTGGGCAGTGGAAAAAGACGTTCCCAGACTGCCATACGTTCTTTATACAGCCCTTTCTTCATCTCCAAATCTGAACCAATATCCAGATAGGCAAGGTTCTTGGGAGTTCGCTGTTGCCATATTACATTTTCAAAGAGGTCTGACTTCTGAGGAGTTGGGTTTCTGCAAGAGAATGTTCACAGAAATTGAGTCATCTCTTAAAGGGAGTATGAGGATATATGAAGATGGATTAGAGTATATGTTAAAACTACTAATACATCCATGGACCTTAAATTATGTTAAAAAATCATGAATAAATACTAAATCTGTACTCTCAGACTTCATTACACACAACCATTCAGAATGGAGTAACTCAACACGAAATTTAAAATGCAGAATAGTATATATCAAGGTGTAGAAATTCTAATATAATGCATGCGAATTCTTCACACAATGCTTAGCAAATGGCCAATAGTTGCATTTTTATTTGCAGAATTATCCACTGCACTGCAAACCTGGAAGTTAATAAGGGTCACTTATTGTGATTCTAAAAATAAGATGAATACATGAACAATTTTTCAACATAATTTGTTACTGTAAATATTAGTGACACCTATAATACTCACAAGCTCCTTTATTACATGAATAACAAAATAAATATATAATGCAACAGCAGTACATATGATGTGAAAATAAGCAGGTTAGTACACAAAATAAAGAATTTGAGGTAGAACTCATAAAACATAATTTCCTATTGTATACTTCCCACAGTTTTTGTGTTCTTAATGGAGTATTTAGTTTCCAGTAATATAAATTTGTAATCAAAATTCGCCTAATTCATGGGCTGGTATGTTTTTCTTTATGCACATATGATCATAAAATTGAGTCTTATTTTAGTCAAACTCTTATTGTTTGCAAGTGACGTTAATCTAAACATTTCATTTCATTGCCTTGTTGGTAATTTTTGACTGATAAAGAATATTTCATACATAAATTGAAAGTACGTTTATGATCTATCAATTGACTGAATTTGACATACCTGCCTCAAATGATTCATCACTCAACACTATCCAGCAGAAAACTAATATAGATTTCATGTAGTGGTCATTTTGTTTTACAGTGATTTCACAGGCCAATACTTTTCCTTAATGAAGGAAAGTTGACTAAGATATTTCAGAACGTGTGGTAAGTGTGCATGTAACCAATTAAAATATTTTCAGACAACAAAATAAGTGAACCAGGGTATCTATTATTATTATTTGTATTATGAGGCTTGTCCACAAAGTAAGTTTCCCTGGGGCCATTTACAGAAACAAAACACAATTTCATGGAAATATTTATTGCAACAGATACAGCAAGTGTTCAGCTATTTTTCGACATAATCGCCACCGGAACGGAGACATTTGTCATACCGTGGGACCAACTTTTGAATACCTGTGTCATAGAAGTCTCCCACCTGGGACTGGAACCACTGTGTGACAACTATCTCCGTCTCTCTGTCATTCTCAAAACGCTGATGCTCACCAGACAGGAATTTCTTGAGATGTAGGAAAAGATGGAAATCACTGGGAGCGAGGTCCAGGCTGCAGGGTGGATGATTACACACCTCCCAGCTGAACTCCTGCAGGAGACTTGCTGTCCATCGAGTCGTGTGTGGCCTAGCATTATCGTGCAGGAAGACAATACCGGCACTAAGCATCCCACGCCGCTTGTTCTGAATGGCCCGTCGCAATTTCTGCAGTGTTTCACAGTAACGCTCAGCATTCACCGTCTCACCTCTGGTCAGGAAGTCGACGTGGTCTGTCCCAGAATACCGTGCACATCACTTTCCGTGCCGACAACGTATGCTTGAATTTCATCTTACAGGGAGATCCACTGTGACGCCAATGCATTGACTGCTGCTTGGTTTCTGGGGTAATGTGTGCAATCCACGTTTCATCACCTGTGATGATCCGGTCCAGAAATTCATCACCGTCATCATGGTACCGCTGCAGAAAGGTCAATGCTGACTCTATGCGCTTTGTTTTGTGTTCTGGTGTCAGTTGCTTCGGCACCCACCTGGCGCACAATTTCCTGAACAACAGATGCTCCGTGACAATTTCATGCAACAAGGAGCGGGAAATCTGCGGGACATGACTGCTGAGTTCCGCAATTGTGACGCGACGATTCTCCATAATGTGTTCCCGCACAAGCTCTACCAGGTCGTCTGTAATGATGGATCGCCGCCCACTGCACTTCTCATCATGCACACTTTGTCGACCTGCTGAAAATTGTCTGCACCACCGACGCACCATCTGCTTGCTCATGACGTTAGGCCCATAGACCCGGCACAGCTGACGATGAATTTCGATCGGCACTATGCTCTGTGCATTGAAAAACTGACCGCACTTCACAGTCGGCGGTAGTTGGAATAAGATCCTCCATCTTCAACAACTGCAACGATGGTACTGTGGGAACGCAGGAAATTCCATTTGTGCATGCGCCATGCTACGTCGCTTCGCGCAATATAAGGTTGCTAGCTGTGGGATGAGTGGGAAGCTTACTTTGTGGGCGTACTACGTACATTATACAACTAAACTATGGCAGCAGCAATTACAAATATGCAGGACCTAGGAAAATGTCAGTGCTTTATAACACTTCAATAACAACTAACTACACATATAAATGAATAGAAGGCAACAAACACTGACCTGAACAGCAACACTGCGAAGAGCATAATTATGAATATTGTGGCATGTAGAGCCATTGCTATACAACGACCGTGAGATGCGCGGATATACCAGGGCCGTTTCTGGGCAATGGCCCGGTAAACACGCTCCCTTTGCTAAACAGCAGATTCATAATAATGCGACAGTTTGACTACAACAATAGAAACAGGGTATCTCTACGTGGTCCATGCTGAGATGTTATAAGCAAGGGACAAAGTCAGTTGAGGGAGCTCTGTACAGGAGTCTGTGAAGATAAGGTTTGAGCCAGAGGCAAAAGAATCTTCACTGTTAAAATCCATTACCAGGAAACGTCTGATGACGACACTGCAGGGTGGAGAAGGCTTAGCGTGTAGTTATGACCTGTAAGTGGTCAATAAATTTATCCACCAATCCAAACCTTGTTTATTGGCAGACACACGTACTATTATTTTGCAATAATAAGTCAACAATCAGATGCAATGACCATATGATGGAGAAGGCTCTTAGATGTTTAGTTACTGAAAATCAGATTTATGGATACTTGAGACATACAAGATCAGGTGACAGAAAGAATTATGAGCTGTGGAAGAATATATTGTGCATTGAACATACCAAAAAATGACAAAATGTTCTAAATAAGGAAATTTTCATGCAGTTCTAGCATAAAGATCTAAAAGACCGACAAATTGGCACATGTGTTCTGTATAAAAGATATTTCAGAGAATGCTAACATAAAAATGTAAATTATGGACATTCGGCAATCTGCATGTTGTTGGAATAAAAATCATATCTTTGCTGTACTTGAATGTTATATTCAAAAGTTCTCAGGTTCAATTCTCAGAGCAGAGGGCAGCTATCATAACTGAGATTAATTATGGTACATCCAATATTGAAATAGGCTCTTGTAACAATTCATGACCAATTCCTTTCAGATTCCTTTGAGTTTGTCATTCATTTATCATCCCATTCAAAACTATGCTAGTTATCCACGTAGTCAAGAAATCATCATTAAATAAGCTAAAAAATAAACAATATAAGAACACTGAAAAGCATTACTGGTGCTATTAGAAGAGAAGGAATAGGGAATTGGATAATGGGAGGGCTTAACTAAAGGGTATACTGAACAAACCAAGATTATTTTGGCAATGTCATGTGTAAGAAAAAACACAGAATAACAAACTGAGATTAATGTATGGAAAAGAAGTCAATGACATACTTAGAACTCAGGAATGAAGGTATTAAGTTAAGCAGACATAGGGAGAAAAATAGCAGGAAAGTAAAAGATAGCAGACAAACAGTTACTCTAAGACAAAAGCGAATGTTAAGAATTCTAAAAATTCACATTATGAAAATTGAAAATTTCTAGGTGAGAAGCTGTGTAATAGTTGATCACATATAATGGAGATAAAGAGTGCTGTGAAAGGACTTCTTGAAGAAAACACCCTATCTCGATAAAATCTTTATGCTCTTACTTAGCAAATACTCTGCTCATCTTCATTCCTGTATGTACCTTAGTCTACAAATATCACTCATCATAAAAGAAAGATGCCTTAATTTTATGTTCATTTTACTCAATTGTAAGAAAGAAATTGTTACCCTGTTTGGATGAAGTTTGCCCACATCTTGGTTTGTCTCTCCACAATTTTAGTCTCAGGATCTTCAGGTTTAAAATATGGGGCTAGTGTGGGTATGAAGAATAAGTACATTTGGTCATCATAGTGAACCACCCCTGAAAGTAAAATAAAACTTGATAATTTATAAAATGATTTTTTTCAGTTAGAGGGAGAATATTCTTAATCATCCAGTAAGTACCATGCTGTGTTACAGTCTGAAATATTTCCATAACCTTGATTAAATATTTTTTATGACTAAATATATTACCATTTTTTTCTAGATTGCCTTTGTTATGTAGCTAGAAAATGAAGACAAACTACAATAGAAATAAATTTAATACTAGATTCTTTCTTTTATGTCTTGGGAAGACAATGTGTTGAATAAACATGGCACATCTCAGTTTTGAACTTATTACTCTGTGTAACTTCACATTTATCGAAATCTCAAATGTCCATTGCAAGGAGACAAATTCACATTTAGTAAAATCTTGGAAAATTCTGTCATCACCTTTCCAGTTAGGGTGTTTACCAACATTTCAAAGAAAACTTTTGTCTCCACCTGAAGGGCAGATATTATCACTGATAATTAGTACAAGCAGCAAGTACTTACCGACATTTAGCACACATGATATACAGTAATGAAACCCATAACATCTGGCTACCACTCAGATCAAAACTGTGCTATATTGACATGTGACACAAGTGGTGGATTAATGTGAGGGAATATGATTTAAAACATACCATATGGAATGTTCGTATGTGGACGATACACACTACTATAACGGCCTTGGTATGAGAACTTGTAGTAATAGAGAGGTGCACCGCTCAGATGAGATATAACAGTTGAAGCCCTGTCTTCAGGAAATCCAATTATGGCATCTGTAAATAACTGAGAGCAAAAATACACTACAAACAAAAATTTGTTTTATTATTTCCAAAATTATTTCATTACACTTGCCTGTAAAATGTTACAATTTGTTTTGATGTTTTTAAAAGAAATACATGTAGATGACTCCAACCACCACACTAGCAGTTGGAGGCTGAGGCCAGAAAAGGAATCCACAAACTACATTGCAGCAAACAACTGAAATGCCAATCTGAAAGATATGGTTATGCATAAATATCTTGGGGCATGAAAGAAGAACCCATCCTATTGATGAGGCTGACAGAATTTTACCGAGACATCTCTATTATAAATATTCATAATCAGATTCCGTGAGAGAAGTAAATATAAAGATGGGTCGACCTCAGACAGAGAGTTCCAAATGAAAGCAGTGGTACAAGGAGGAAACTTAGCTTCCAGGAAGAAATTTATGTCATCACAGCATTCATAGTGGAGAATTTAGATTGGGTCTATAAGTATAGAAACATCTATATTCTATCTAAGAGGCAAATCATGATTAAAACACTTGACAACTACCAGATCATTTCAAATCCAGCCTGGGAATGCCATCAGTCACTTTTAAATTGACTGAACATACAGGGCTTAATTTATAGGTGTTATGTCACTGCAGTATTGAGGGGTAATGGAACTGCCAATCAATTGGCAAGATTGGGATCTACATGTCCTTTTATAGGACTTGAACTAGCCTCTGCCATCTCAGCAGAGTTACCAAGAAGTCTGTCAGGGACTGAACGGAGTCCACAGAAACTACTAGGAACCCTTACAGGACTCAAACATGCGAAGGTTTTCTTGCAAGGACTCTCTGACAGAAGAACTAAGGACCTATGAAATCAAAATTGAAACCGGTTATGATGGGTGGCAGGACTACTTACAGGACACTGTCACCTGATTGGGAACCTTTTTAAATTATAATTAACCAATAAACCCACATATAAAAGATGCCTGTAAAAAGATGAATCAGCCACACATACACTATGAGAATGTGAGGCTGCAGCTACATCACCTAGCACACTAATTCAACAGTCAGATAACTTCCAAGACACCTCTTTAAAACACTACATTTCTTTTGAAGTGTAGGATTATTGGGGCACTGGACAGATGGCAAAACACTTTAGATCACTGATGGTGGCAGTGCAATGACCGGACAAGGCTAATCCTTATCCATCCATTCATTCCATCGTTCATTCATACATACACACACATACATAATGCTTAAATATATCTCACTGGTTACTGATGAAGATGAAGATGAAGATGACGATGGTTTTATTAATTTTGTGACTACTATTTTATTTTATGACACTGGCAGTATCTACAATATTATCCAGTAGAAAAAATAAAATTGTCCCTGTGTCTAACTAATTAAGCATTATGCTATGAAGGTGCATGGGGGGGGGTGGATGTATAGAACATTTTATTCACTTCGACACTAGATGTAGGTGAGTGGTCAGATTCACATCCTGGCCACTTCACCCCCAGTACCCATTGGAAAGGAGGCTGGGTGGGTCCCAGAACCAGTCAGTGGTAGGATGGTTGTTGATAAACTGATAAGAGCTTAACAAGGAAGCAGTCATGGTCTAATTGCAGTAATTTGCAAAACTTGTTTGCAAGGCTTAAAATAAAGGTAAAATTGCCCCTGTGATTAATTAATTAAGCACTGTGCCTTGAAAACCTATGGAGGACTGCAGGAATAGATCCATGATTCTTTACATTGGCACTAAATGGAGGTGAGTGGTCAGCTTCACACCCAGCCGCTTCATCCCTGGGGAAAGAGCCCCCAGTACCCATTAGGATGGAGGTTGGGTTGGCCCCAGAGCCGGTCTGGAAGCTTGGAAAAGACAAAAACCTTGCCCTACTGGGAATCCGCACCCAGCCCATGAAGCCTGTAGCTGTCGCTGTACCAACTGAGCCATCCCGACTAAACTTGCCTGGAAGAATTGAGGAAAGCTATCTAAGACTTAAATCAGTGCCTCAGCTGATTCAAATTGAGCACTTCATGAATGCAAGTCTAGGACAGTACCACTACATCAATGTGGTATCTGAACACAAGAAAATGTTTCAGTGCTTTGATGGTTGAACTTACCTCTCCTAGATCTGATAAAGAAGTATTGGTCAGATGTTGACCTTTCAAGTAGAATTTTCTGAGCTCTTGACTGATAATATGAGATCGCTCTGTGTTCCTTTCATAGAAGAATGCTATTGGAGCCACAGTATCAAAGTTATTGTCCATATCCTCAGCCAAAGAGGAGTTTAGAATGACAGCTGTGACAAAAGAGTAGTGTTAATTCAATCTTCAAACTTGCATCCTCAAATTGTCAACCTTCATGAATAAGAATCTGGTAGGTATTCTGACACATATGCCTCACTGTTGCTCTTATTTCAAACGCTGCTTGATAAATATGGCTCCAAAATCTTTAATCTGTAAATAGTGGTGAAATGAAGAAATCCAACTAAGTTTTAAAACTGAGATAAGAATTGAAAATTTTTAAAAAATTAAGATCAAGAACGGAACCCAACTGTCAACGATTACAGAGATATGAATATTTGAAGTTCAAGAATGATTTATGCACAACTAAGCTATTTTCATGAGAGAGTTCTTACATTTAATGAGAAACATTATTTGAAATAGAAAGCCATGTTTAAGACAAGTTTAAATTTTAATAGTGTCAACTCCAAATCATTCATCCACGATTATCCAAGTTTTGTTTTATCCAAGTGTCCATGAAGTATACTTTAATTTCTTCTATATTATCATACATTTTTATGCATGTAGACATTGTTTGAATTCATGTCTTCTCATCCCAAAAAACAATGAAAGTGTTGGAGAGAGAAAAATATATGTTCTAATGGTATCAGTGGATATATGGGAAGGGGTATGTGTCTGTTCCCAATGTCTTTGCTGAGATGTGTGTTCAAAGGTTAAACACCAGCTGGGAATGAAGAGAGCAGACAGACTGGTGGCTGGCAAGATTTAAGCAATATTACAGTATTCATCAAAATGCTGTGCAAGGATGACTCATTAAGGCCAGTGCTACTGCAGCTGATTCTGTTCAATAGAATTTCATGCTAGCACAAAACCTAAAACTTAACAAAATTTACAGTATGTATAGTCGTGGACAGTAAGAAAAGTGTACACCTGTTCATAAGTTATCTAAATAACTTGCCATCATGTGTAGTGAAAATAAGTTTGAAAATCATGAAACAAAACTTGTATTGATTTTCAAAGCAGACCCACAGAATCTGAATGGCTGAACTACACAGTTGATCTAGCAATTTAGAGTACACAAAGACTCTCATACTATGCATTCCTAAAATATTATCCTAGCTCTAAAAACCATGAGTAGTGTACGAGAAACATTTTTATGTTAGATTTATACTCACATAACAATAAATACAATCTCAATTAGCTTCTTCACAATTCAGTTCTCACACAACACATCAATACATACAATAAAAGTGGAACTATTGCAAGTTTAATATGAAGCATAAAAGACAGACATGTCAGAAGTATTTAAAAAGTGAAACATAAGCAAAATATAACATGCAATGGCAGGTTATATAGATATTGGTATCAATTATGTAAGAAACATTTTGACATATTTCTACCCCCCATTTGACTCTTCTAAAATAAGCTGAACTTAAGTGTGTACTTACACAGTGCTTTATGTGAAACTCCATCCTTTGTTATTCCAGTGATTAAGGGCACTTTGGCAAATTTTCCAGAGAGAAATAGTTCTGTTGGATCAGCTTCTAAAAATCTTTCAGCAATCACATCTGGTTCAATTACTGGGATATATGTGGTAACTGGTTCAGGGCCCCATTCCTGCAGACAAGATACTTGCATGAGGGCATACACATTGGAATCACACATGGAACTAATGTGATCTTGTTTCACTGTGACATATATAGAGCTAGAACAAAGTCAAAACCAAGTCAATACTCTAACATAAGGTAGGAAGCAATAATCAGAGGGCACAATAGTTTAACAAACTGAGAATAAATAATTAAAGAATAATGTAACATGTAAGAGATACCTGAAAATGTGGTAAAACTATGAATACTTGGGAATTACAATCATAAATTAGATTCATGATGAAACAAGGAGACAACTTATGAAAATACTTTTTCTATTCAGTTCAAACGCTTACTATATTTCCATTTCCCAAAACACCCAAAGATCAAGATTTATATATAGCACAATAATTCTGCAAGTTGCTTTCTACATGTGCAAATAAGGTCTCTTAATTTGAGATAAGAACATAAATTAAAAATGTCTGAAGACAAATTTCTCAGGAAAACATTCAAACATTGTATTGTATTGTATTGTATTTTATTTTCATCCGTTTTGCTACATAGTAACATTTGGGCACGTCATTCAGTAATATAAGTTAACAAAATAAATCTACATAGTTACAACAGAACATAGGATATCTAAGTCTGTCAACTCTGTATCTAATAAAACAATTAACTCCAGTAATTTATTTCTCAGACTTTGAACATTATGGTGTAATATTAATAACTCATTTGATGTTAAAACCTGTCTCTTGCCAACCTCACTAGTCACTATTTTTATTTCTTGTTGGGGGCTACCCATAAAAATCCTCACTTCTGTGTTTAGGTAATCTGCGAGGTCTTTTTGATAAAAATGATGAATTAAAAGGACAATTTAAAATTACGCACAATGCAAAAAAGGTAAACCGCCTCCATGGTCTAGTGGTCAGAATTCCTGCCTACAAATCCAAAGGTCCGGGTTCGATTCCGGGCACTATTAGATTTTCTGAGAAGTAGTGGGTCTGGAACGGTGTCCACTCAGCCTCGTGAGGATAATTGAGGAGCTACTTCAAGTAAATAGCGGCTCCAGCGGTGGGGATTTGTTGCGCTGACCACATAACACGTTCAATCTGCTAAAAGATGGCACTAACTTCACCGACAAGCAGCGGTCGCTTGGTCGGTGTAGTTCGCTTGTGGACTGGAGCCATGGAATTTGTTTTTTGCAGCTTGTAAGAAAGGTAAAGTTGTCCCCGTGCTTAACTATTTAAGCACTATGGGGGAATGGATGTATAGATCTACATTTTCTTAACCTCGGCACTAGTTGGAGGTGAGTCATCAGCTTCATGCCCCGGCATCTTTATCCCCATTACCCATTGTATATGAAGTTGGGTGGGCTCCAGAGCTGCTCTGAATGACATGGAGAAAAGAAAATTCTTGACCCTGCCAGGATTTGAACTTCAAGTCCTTGGTCATTCATCCCGTAGCCAGTCACTATACCGACTACGCTATCCTGGCTCCTGAATGCATAATTTGATTTGTATGTCACTCAGCATTGCTAAGATGATGAAATTCAGAAGTCTATGAATAACTTAGCATATATCTACAATACAGCAAGAAGTGTGTCCAGAATTTTAATAATGAAACCTTACAGAAAATAACCATTTTTAACACTGAGAAGCTACTGAGAGAATGTCATTATGAAAGTTCTTTTATGAAGGTATGTTGTGAGGAAAGGACACAGCTAATGGAGGGGACTCAGGATTATGTGCAGTGGTAAGCTTTGGTAATAGTGATGTTAAACTTTCTGACTTTCCTACTGTGTGCTAGAAATTATTACTTATTTCAGTAACACTATCGCAAGTATGCAAGTACTATTAACTTATGACTGAACTAAAAAGTTATCACTACCGTTGCAGGCAGCCCCCTAATTTAATGTTTCGTAATTCCCAACTGACCATAACCTATTGTGTTCAGAGTATCCAGGACTCCGCATCAGATATATGATAATAAAGGTATTATAGCATGAAAATAATGAGTAAACAGAATGAAAGCCACACTGTCTGTTGAAACCAACCATTTAATTTTATAAATATAGGAAATGAAATTTCATCATTCATATAAAGATTCACTGTAGTTGTAGAAAATGTTCATGTAAATGTATGTACCTAATGTACTGCCTGTCAAATTAATGTGGATTACGAATGTGAAAAGCCCAAATATTTCGGTTTCCTTTCGATTGTTACTCTCATTCCAAATTTCTGTACTTTTGCAAATAATAATATTCATAGTTTCCCTTTAAAACTATTTTATTTATATGCAGAATATGTAAAGCAAAAATATAAAGACATTGGTGTAACCATGTCTGAATAAACAAATGAGAGTTACAAACTTAATTTCATTTTTAATTAAAAGCCATGCCATGAAGGTTTATGGAAAATGAAGGTGTAGTTGTACACAGTCTAATTCTTGATACTAGCTGGAGAAAAATGTCCAGTTTCATGATCGCCTGGGAAAAAGATGTCTGCATGGATGGGGGGGCTAGGTGGGCTCAACAGATGGTCTCTATATTGCAGTTGACTCAAAAATTCTTTTCCCTGCCTGGAATGGAGCCTTAGAAATCCAGGCCTTAGTGCAGTCAGCATACAGATTAGTATATTTTTAAATTGTACGTGTACTTACAGCCAATCTGTTCAATGAACTAGCAATTTCCTGTGCTCCCTTCTTCATGAGGCAATCCTTTATTTCTTGTGAGGTATATGTTGGACAATTTAACAAAGCGGATTGCTTCTTTGCAAAGGCGAGACGATTTTTTTCAAAGAATGAATCCAGAAACGAAGAACCACTCATGGCTATTCCTTGATGGAAGAGGCCTACAGAAAGAGAAATTCCTTTAATGAATACTAATACCACTGCAAATTCTTTTACTTATTTCATACAACTGAAAGTTTAATAATATTAAATTTTATTTAAATGACCATCAAAACAACTTCAAAAGTAACTAATATTTACTGAAAATCACTATAAGGTTCGACCTCACAGGTCACCTCAGAAACTCTGTTATTGAAATGCCATTATCTTTTTCTAACTTAATGAAATGGATGTAATTTTTTCAATAGGTTTACACCCTTTTTTATATATTTGAATTCTAGACATGTTGCATCAGTATTCCTAAAGAAAATGGTATGATGATTGGTACATGTACTAGTTGGCAATAAAACAATTGTAAAACAAAGAAGAAGTAAAATGTATATATGTATATACAAGATGTGTGTATTTGTGGATTGTGATTATTCTAATAGCAATGACTAAATAACATCTTCACATATAGGTAGCCATGTTGTTGAAATGTATAAATGGTCATTTTGTCAAAATAAAATGCTGTAATAAACTGGTGAAACTATGATGAACTGTCGCAGGAATAGTATAATCTCATGTGATGTCAACTAGAATGTACAATGTATCATAATTTGGGATTAACATAAAATTTATCTGACAGGTGCATCTATGGATCACTGGTTCAGCAAAACATGTTCATAGTTGGATATTATTACGTTAATATTTTGTTGTGAAGTGTTCCCATTAATGATTCATAATAAGATGACAAAAAGGGAATTTCTATCTGAAATTCTGCTCCTAAAATTATAAATAAAAGCATTTCACTGTAGCAGTTTAATGCAACATTATTTACTCCAATCACGACAGTGCATGCCATATGTAACACTCTACGTGACAGTAAAGAAAAATTAAAACGCATAATAAATATAAGAGAAAATAAAAAGAATGAACATTGGCAACAACAATATAATATGACATTCGATTATTATTACTAACCTTGTGACATAGGTGACACCATGTGCAACATTACACTAATAGAGCCAACACTGTAGCCTGCAATAGTGACACTGTCAGGATTACCACCAAATGCTGCAATATTCTGTTTCACCCAATGCAGTGTTGCTACTTGATCCTTCATTCCATAGTTCCCAGGAAGCACTTCATCACCTGTGCTTAAGAATCCTATAAATATAAATTACAAAAACATGGGATTCTAAAAAAAGAATTTGACTCTATGGACAGAGGGTGGGAGGTGAGTCTGCACACTACTGATTTTTGGAAAGAAGCGAAATTAAAAATGGGAGAAAATATACCAAAAATTAATACCAGAAATTAAAATTATTCCTTTAAAATGCATTCTGCTATTCTCATCAATGCAAGGGGATCAGTAAAAATAATTTTAAAATTCTAAAATTGTATGATTCGAGGTTCTCACAGCATTGCTTTTGAAGAGTTCTATCTTCTGGAATATTAAAAAGAATAGAAAAGCTTAAAGTTCTTACAAATAAATTAAAAAGTTATTTATTACAAAACTGTTTTTGCTCTCTGCAGGAGTTTTTGATAAAAATGATGACGGTAGTTTGGTGGCTCTGGTTGGTTCTGATGTGGTGTGGTTGTACATAGATGGTATAGGTGTATGCATTGCTTTATATTGGATTGCGGGGGGGATGTCATCCTTGGTTGCTAACTTCAGCAGGAGTACAATGATCCTAAGATGATTGTATTGTTCGTAGTCTTGTGTATAATGTTGTAATTTTTTAAGATTTGTTGACTTATAGTTTTTAGATAGCTTAAACTGACTTGTCCAATTGTACTTGTGTAACAGTTTATGGATGTAAATAAATTATGAATTATGATTTGTAGTCTATCAAAACTGAAACCAACATTTCTGATGAACATGCCACCTCGATCTTCAGGGCTGATGTTTAAGCCAAGCAAAAGAACAGCATAAAGAAGGCAGTGAGTACAACATGTTTCCTTCCTGCTTCAAGCTGATTTGTGGCTTGGTTTACACTTCATCCTTCAGCTTAAACACAAGTTTGTCAGCGACATTATTGAGCACTTAATCTTTAAATTCACCTAAAGCTCCCAGCCTGTAGTTGGTTGTCACAAGAACAATGTCGTGATCCATCAAGTACTGTGGCCCATACACCTTACTATGTCCAGTTGCACTGTAAAATCCACCAGGATGGAAGAACACCATGACTGGTCTCTTCAGGTTATATTGTACTTCTGGTAGCTATAAGAAATGGATTTCTTGTTGACATATTATGTTGTTTGATTAAAATATATAAAATTCTTTTTCTTTTCCATGAAATGAAAAATTTCAATAACATTCTGAGCATTAATATTCTCAAACATTACAAAAATTAATTGTAATACAAAAATTGTAATATTAGGTTCTTTCAATATCTCCACTTCCATTTAAAAGCTCAGTTAAGCAGCCATTGTTATTTTCTCATATTTTACCATTATTTCCAGTAAAAACTGCTCTGAAAAAAAATTAGTGTTAAATGACTGTAATCCAACACAATAATATTCACATTCAAAACATGACTTACTTTTGCCTCCATGGAAAATAATTGCTAAATAACTGAAAATTTCTTCCATAAAATATAAAATATTTTAAGTAATTTTACTAATTCTACTGTATATAGGGGCACGCGGTAGCGTAATTGGTTGAGGGGCTATGCTACAAGCGGGAAGGTCATGGGTTCAAGTCCTGATGAGGTCATTTCAATTGACCCAATCCTTCCATCCGCACTATGGCCCTGGGGTGGACTCAGCCTCTAATAGAAATGAGTACCAGGAATTAATTAAATAATTTTCCTGGGGATTAAAGCATGGCCAGCATGTAAGGCTGACAACCTTACCATCATCTTTGAGCCAATTGTCTAGATAATGTGGGAGCCTCAACGTCTCACAACCCTATGGGCCTTCACAGCCTCTTACAGGAATAGCTTTACTTTACTTTTTACTGTATATAAGTTAACAACAGTTAACAAGTATCCTAAAAAATATAGCGTATACTACGAACGCATTTTGTATGTGGATGACACCACAATTATAGTTATTTCAAATGATCTAAATACTTTGAATGATAAATTAAATATAGTAATGAAACACATTTCTAATTGGTTTCAAAATAATCAACTGGTACTCAATTTGGGAAACACTCATTTGATTTAATTTACTACCCTAAAGGCTCCGGAATATACATTATCAGTAACATAATAATTTAGGTCTTAAAGTTGAAGATAATGTTAAATTTTTGGGTATGTATGTAGATCGTCATCTTAATTAGAAACAACACTGAAAAATTATTAAAAACATTGAATACAGCATGTTTCATGCTGAGGAAGTTAAAGTTCATTGTTGGTAAGCAAACCCTATGAATGGTCTCTTTCTCTCATTATCTGTCCTTGAATATGGTATTATTTTTTGGAGTTCCTCCTCAGCAATGAAAAGCATCTTTGAGGCCCAAAAAAAGTCAATTAGTGTTATGTTAAGATTGAGTCCTAGAAGCTCTTGTAAAGAAGACTTTCAGAGAATGGGTATTTTATCAGTTCCTTGTTTATATATATATGCTATGATGATGTTCATTGTTAGACATAATAATATTTATCAAACAAATAATGTCATTCATTATACTACATACATACATTCATTATATGCACAAGACAGTCAGAAAAGTTGCATGTTTCCTCAGTAAGACTATCTTTGATTGAAAGGGGTGTGTTGTATTCATCAATCATAATTTATAATAATCTGCCACTAAAATATACAAATTTTGAAAGACAATGTGAATATATTTAGGCATACATTGAAAAACTTTCTTCAAATGCTTTTAATCAATAGACGAATATATTTCAAGCAAAACTTTAGCTGGATAAATAAATATATTGTTGTTTGTAATTTTGACAGACAAAGCGTGCAGGAGACCCCAGAAGATAAACTCAGTGCAATTGAAAGTGAAAGTGGAAATGCTGAAGTGCAGTGGAACAATATAAAAGAATGCATGTTAGATACTATTAGTGAATTGGTTGGTAAAGGTGAGAAGATAGCAAGAAAACCATGGGTTACACAGGAGATGATGAGTAAAATGGAGGAGCAAAGGAAATGGAAGAATGTAAACAATGAAGAAGGCAGGAGGAAATACAGGGGACTGAGGAATGAATTGAAAAGAGCCACAGACAGGGCCAAAAAGGAATATCTTGAGAAGATATGTAATGAGATTATAGAATTTCAAAGAACAGGACGTTATGATTTGATTTACATGAAGACAAAATAACTAGGATGGAAAGAGAACAATTGGATTCAACATATTGGCATCGAAGACTCCCAGGGGAATAGAATAGTAGATCAGAGGCAAGTGCTGAAAATTTGGAAAATTATATTACAGAACTATATGATCGACCTAATTGGCCAGAAACCTTGGAAGTGGAACTGGAAGAAGAAGTAGTTACAGACGAGAAAGGACCATAAATTTTACAAAGTGAAGTGGAAAAAGCTATCAAGGACATGAGGAATGGAAAGGCTACAGGAGGTGATGATGTACCTGGAGATGTGCTTAAGTTACTGGGAGAAGGTAGTTTGAAAACACTGACAAAACTAATAAACACCATATATGAAACTGGGGAGTGGCCCAAGGACTTTACAGAAGTTACAATGATTGCCTTAAAGAAATAGACAAAAGCTACAAAATGCAGCGACCATCATACAATAAGCCTTATTGCACATACAGCAAAGATAATAGCAAAGATACTTAAAAGAAGAATCTAAAGGAAAATAGACGATATACTTGGAGAGGATCAGTTTGGATTTAGAAGAGGAAAGGGAACCAGGGATGCAATTGGGATGATGAGAATTATAGCAGAACGAACTTTGGAGATAAATGAAGAACTGTGTCTTACTTTATAGACTGGCAGAAGGAATTTGACCACGTACATTGGACAAAATTAATGCAGATCCTAAAGGAAACAGGCATTGATTGTCGTGAAAGAAGATTGATTAGTAAATTGTACATGGATCAGAAAGTTAGAGTGCGACTGGACAGAGGGGAGACAAGAAGTATGAAGATTAGAAGAGGAGTTCAACAAGGATGCTGTTTATCACCAATATTGTTCAACTTGTACAGTGAATGCCTTACCAAAGAAGCTCTGGATGGGCTTGGAGACTTCAAATTAGGAGGGAAAATTATTCAAACTGTGAAATATGCAGATGACCTTGTATTAATGGTTAAGGAAGAAACTGTGCTACAGGGTATGATTGATAGACTAATCGAAATTTGAAGGTGCTATGGCATGGAAATGAATGTGGAAAAAACAAAAGTAATGAAATATCAAGACAACCAACGGCAGTCACAATAAAGATAGACCAAAAACAACTGGAGAATGTGAAATGATTTAAATATTTGGGTAGCTTGTTAACAGATGATGGAAGGTGTATTGTGTGAAATTAATCTAGGATTGCCATGGCAAAAGCTGAATTTAGCAAGAAGAAGAATCTTTTTACCAGCAAATTGGACTTAAATTTGAGGAAGAAACTAGTGAAATGCTACATTTGGTGCATGGCTTTGTGTGGGACTGAAACTTGGACACCTAGGGCAGAAGATCAGAAACACCTGGAAAGCTTCGAAATGTGGTGTTGGAGAAGGATGGAGAAGATCAGTTGGACCGATTATGTGAGAAATGAAGAAGTGTTATTTAGAGTCGGTGAGCAGAGGAATATCCTACACGAAATAAGAAAACGGAAGGCTAATTGGATTGGTCATATCTTACACGGTAACTGCCTCCTAAAATAAGTTATTGAAGGAAAGATAGAAGTGACCAGAAAACGAGGAAGAAGACATAAGATGATGCTGGATGACCTTGGGGACAGAAGAGGATATTTTCATTTGAAGGTGAAAGCTCTAGATCGCATCAATTGGAGGAACTGTTTTGGAAGAGATTGTGGACCAGTCGTCTTGACAGATTACAGATGAGTTAATGAATGAATTGTTGACAATGTGCCTAAGCTGTGACTGATAATTTCACCCATTATATTTGGTAGTTCTAATGGTGTATAAGTGTCTTTTGTCATTCTTAATTTATTTGTAATTGTTGTTGACTCAACTGTTTCTTTGCAATCAAGTCTTTTTATAACACAAGTTCTATAACCGATCTGGATTGGACAACAGATCAATGAAACTATGAACTATGTATGTATGAATGTATGTACAACTTGTACTAGTTTATGCTGTACAGAGCACTTCTTCCCCATATCTGATATTTTTACATGAATGCACTTATTTGCATATCTCATAACCTTTATTATGTGTCCATCATTATTCAACCAATTTTTATCGGTCAGTTTTTGTTGATTGTACAGTCCAGCAATGTATCAACTGTGCTGTATAGATATCATATATATTTACAGGCCATTATGCTGTAGGCCTACAGTATATACACTCTATGATGTTTTTGAGTATCCATAAAACATTATTTGTGTATGTTTCTGAGGGAAGTAAAATATTTCAATTCTGTAGTACCTTTAACTGTGAAAGATTGTAAAGCAAAATATGAGTTTTCTCTGCTTCATTAAGCATCACACCATAAAGACATATGAGGGAGTGAAGATATAGCTCTAGGTACTCTTAACTTCATTGGAGAGTGATCAACTTCATGCCCTGGGCGGCATTACCCCCTGTGAAATCCCCCTGATTCTGCTTTGGTGGGAGACTAGGTGTGCCACAAAGTCAATCTTGATGCTGTTGAGAGGAGAACGAGCTCTTGCCCTTGCTGCATACTGAATACTGATTTCATGATTGTCCAGCAAATGGCCTAGTCAATATACAGACTGTGATATCATGTATCCATTGGATACACTAAATGATAATTGTAAAAAATAAGTAGGAAGATTTTAACCCAATATTAGTTGTTTCCAACATCACTCAAATCAAAATAAACTTATGGTTGACCAGTTGGAGTGGATATAGATGCTTATCACCCACTTTTTGCAAAGTTATCAAGTCACAATGTATCCCAAGATTAATGCCCAACATATTTACCTTAGTTGTGTATACATTTAGAAATAAACAATCTTCTGAGGTTGAAACAAAGTAGTTTTCTTCTGGTTGAGGACATGCAGCACCATCTTCAGTTGCATTCTGGATTCCCTGCCATGGGTCTACTGGTACAGGGGCCTATGGAAATAAGACCGTCCTTTAGAACCTTCAGGAAATATATAACATTCACAAGCAAACTATTAGAACTGAATATTAGGAAATGAATGTGTAAATTAATTGGGTAATTTATTTATTTTCACACAGCAGTAGTAGAAATTTACACCTTGTATAATATCGTGTTAAGGACATAATGTTCCCATTTTAAATGATCTGTGTTACCTCACAGGGAATGTAACAGGTGGAGAAAATTTTTGACTGCCGCAAAGTTATATTCCTTATCAAGTAAGGAATTGTAATTATTACACAATTAGACCAATCAGAAATATAAAGACTGAAGTTATGGCAGAAAATCTCATCATCTTGTAAAGAACCAATATGAATAATTAATTAATAGTAATCTTAAAATCATGTATGAAATAGTAACTCTTCCTTATGCCACAAAATTAAAAAAAAAATAATGTTGTGTTACTAATAAAATCATACAACTTCACTGACACCATCATTCAAGGAAGTTTCTCTTTCTGTTCTAAAGAATGTTTTTAGGACAATTCAAGCCAACTGGGAAGCCTTACTGAAATACTGATACAGCAGGTTCAATTTCATCTTCTTATAAATGACAAAATATAAAAGCAGAAGCAACTGAACACTCATTTCTAATCTATGTATATTTAATTCAGTGTTGGAAATTTTATGGTCTTCTGTGATGTAATGCCATGTAGCCTGATGACACGTTACCAACATTCTGGAGGACCAAGGTGTCTCCATCTTCAGACCTTAAGACTTCAAGACACTCTTCTTCCAAAACAGTAATGTTCTACCTTCTACCTTAAGTTGGATATAGGAGACTCCTTCTAAAGAATGGTGAACTTCCTCAGATTACATGTCACTTTACAGAAGACAGCAATCCTCATATTCATTGCATGAGAACTTCAATTCTTGAAGTTAAATTCCTTACCACATAACCTCTCTATAGGGTGCACACTGGTTTAGTGGGTGGAGGTGAGCAGTCAGACTTGTGTCCCAGTCATTTTAACCTTGAGGGGTGGGGACAGGTACCCAGTAGATTGGAGACTAAGTAGGCACAGGATACAATCTGAATGTGGCAGCAAAGGGAACAATTTTTTGGCTTTCCAGGAATTGAAAACCAGAGATCAAGCCAGACCCCCATATTACTTAATATGGTATATTAATTCTAGAGGTCATCTGATTCTATAAATACATATATCTAGTAACTTCGACTCTGTTCAGAGAAGAATGCTGGAGAAGACAGAATTGCTTTCCACCTCATGAAAAAAGCAAATTTTAAGCAAATGAATAGCACAGCCACAATTTAGTTATCCCTGGTCCCATCTGCGTGTGATGCAGTAATCTCTAGCATGAGCAAATGTTGTCAGATGTTCATTTGAACTACAAAGAGTGCAGTAGCAAGCTTGCAACATTCGGAGTACATACAAGAGTGTCTAATAGAAGAGTGTTCAAAAATAAAATGTTCAACTAGTAACACTGCTGGCCAACATGAGTCGATTGACCAATGCTGTTTCGAGGAAGATGGACAACGTTGAACGCTAATATGATGTGTCACTAAATCAGGAATGGACAACAATCTTTTATTTATCAATATTTAAACAACGTTCTCAGGATATACTCACTTATTTTTACAACATATCACGTGCTGTATCTCTGCCAACATAGGACATTACAGAAGAAATTGCGTCTAGTATATTGTCCCTTATCCTATACCCACAACAAGAAATTAATGGGTTCTGGATTAGATGAAGCTGTTTATTGGATAAGTTGTTTAAATTGCAATTACAAACACTAAAAAATAACGTCTTCCATGTGATGCAACCTGACTAGCCTGTCGTTTTCTGGTTCTTAGCTGAGCTGTTTTCTTCTGCTCTCAGCTCTTCTCCCTTCGCTTCTGATCTGTTCTCCGCTCTGGTCTGGTCAAAGTCAAAGTCAGAGTCAGAGTCACATTGTCTTAGTGTTGAGCCTCATCTGGGTCTCATGACCAGATATTTATTACTGTTTGACTGTTACGGTCTCGTTTTCTTGTGGGGCGCCCTCTCTGACTAGAGGACGGGTCTGTTTTCTGTACATGCTGCTGTCCCTTGCCAGTGCAGTCTTTCTCGTGTCCGAGTCCCTTGGGACTCACGACCATATGTGATTGTCTCAGATTTGATACTTCCCTTTTCGTCGCCTCCTACAACTCGCAAGGTCATGGTGGAGGTATTAGACCCCGCTTCCACACTGTCACTCATTTGGTCTGGTCTGGTCTGGTCTCGTCTCTTGTATTCTATAGTCGGAAGGACTAGAAAGACACCTTCTTCAACGGTTCAGTTTCGCGTGTTCTATGCACTGGTCGCTGGTGTATTCGTTGCCGCGGGAACTGCACTAGTTCTGGGTTTCACTTTCGTCGTAACGTCTGTTATATATACTTTGTCGCTTGAACCTATTTCATTGTTACCCCGACAACGAACGGAGCCGTGGATACCGAGCCGATGCGTAACAATGAACACCCGCTCTGACTTAGATATTCTGACTTCCAGGCGGCACACCACATTGTTCCCTCCTTAAGGCTATACGTCCCGGACAGCCTAAATGTGTGTCACCGTTCTTTCTTTCCCGAGGATTCCTGCTCCTCTTCTTTTTCTCTGGCTCGGTTTTTCCTCTTATTGGTTCTTCTTCCATTCCGGTTAGTAATGACCATTCTCCATCCGCTACCAGTTGTCTCTCTTAGCAGGCGCTCGTCCCGAGAGGTTCAATACTATGGTTTAGTCTGTTCAGGTACATCTCAAGTTCTCTCTCTCCCTCTCTTTCACTCTCACTCTCATTCTAGCGGTGGAGGTCGGTGCTTCTACATTACCAGCTTCTGCTGTTTTCCGTTTCGGAGGGGGTCGATCCCTCCACAGTGTTAAAAAATGGTCGTTTTTAATGGGACACGAGATCCGACAATTCGTTTCACAGTCTGCAGCATGGTCATCTTCTCGTAGGTCTTTCCAAGGATTTGGCCGGCTACCTTCTCGTTCCTAAGACGCAGCTGACTTTTTGCGCCTCGATCCCTCATTCTCGAGCTGCCTTCCGGATCCACACGACGTCTTTTCCCGGACGTCTGTTCTCTAGGTGCTCCACTTGCAACGTCATCCCTGTTCGACAGACAGTCCTTCATGCCAGCGTCCCTTGAACCGTGCTACTTTTACATGGCGGGTCATCCCTCTGCCGGTTGCGGCCAACTTCTTCCTTCAGGATCCCCAAGTTCCCTGAGTAAGTTCCTTCCTGAAGGCGTCTCTCCTGCGTCGTGCCACTGCTGCACGACGGGACATCTTCCTAATGGTGACGGTCGCCTTCTTCCGGGATCCACATTATCCCCGGGCCGTTTTCTTTCGCTGACCGTGACGCCCTGCAGCCGGATTTCGGTCCCTACGTGTCAATATTTTGATCTAAGCAAATGTGAATATTTTGAAATCAAATCTACTGTGGCAAGAACTGGTTCTTCGTAACCGAATGATTAGGTTGGTTATTTAACGACGCAATCAGTACCAACACTATATATAGTATCGATAACAGGATGATTAAAGAATGTGGACCAGTTTGTGGAATAAAAATTGGCGGGGGAATTATAGTACTAGGAGAAAACCCTCCCCAGTGTCACTTTCTCCACCACAAATCACACCTACTCCGAGATCGAACTCGGCTGCCACAGTCAGCAGCCCGCGGCTAACGGCCTGAGCTATGGCATGAACTCATAATCGAAATGTAAGACCTGACTCTTCAAAAAACAGTGGGAGCTCGGACATCCTGTTACATGAAACTCTTGCAGCAATACGAGTATGATGTGAGAGTTGTCACTTCTTCCCCTGCATACATCAAATCGTTCGTAATCGAGCTGATATTTCTCATCTAAAATACATAAGCAGAAGACAACAGAGTTAAGAGTTACACGACGGCTTCAGGTATACGCCATGACCGTTCTTACCTTAAATCTTAGATTTCCAACAGGTGGCTGAGCGAAACGAACTCCTCGGAAGGAATATATGGGCCTTCCGAGACGAGACTGAATGACACTCCCTCTCAGAACCCCATGCATCGTCGTAACAAGGGGTGACCTGTCATGCGGCTGCGATGCACTCGATTTCGGTGAGAGAGCTACCAGAAGACAAAACACTGCCGTCCTATACATTTCGCTGTCTCAGAATAAACTCTTCGAGCTATTTCCTTCACATATATATGCACATGCTGATGGTGAATTTTCGCTCTGATTTCCCTGTCCTCGGCCGTCTTGTCTGCGTGTGTAAGATCCACGAACGGCCTTCAAACGATAATAAAAACCATCTACCAGTGTTTTATGCAAAACATGCATATACTACATAATTTGTCCTGTATTGTAGGGTTACTTAGAATGTTGCGAACCTAGTCTAAAGCAAATTATAAACAAAAATAAAAACGAGGCAAATGTGCGAGTTTAATACAAATTCCAAAGAGTTCGAATAGTGTTCAATGATTTTAGTACTGGGTTTAAAGTGAACAGTTAAGGGTTTCCTATAGGCAAGGTGAAATCAGAAAGAATAGGCACTTCAGTACGCTTTTATTTATAAGTTCAAAATTGAATCTACGTTTGCTATCTTTAAAGCGAATGAAGAACTTAAGATAGATTAGAATCAGAATAGTCCCTGTCATTACGAAAAATAACCAAATACACATCAGGAAACAGCTTCTGCATAGTAATAAGCTCTTGCTTAGAGAGTTCTGCACCAGTGGAATAGTTTAAAATTTGTAGTGGTTTTACAACTACAGAATCTCATGTGACACTTTATGGAAAATTCTACTTTAGAGCCAGGTATTAGCAACGAAATAACAAAACGAGCATGAGGGGCAGTAGTTGGTTAGATAGCATTTGCTGTTCAACTGGACAATATTAGGTCTACATCGTCTCAGTTTAAATTTAAAAAACTTTTGATCTTCAGACAAGCATCACTTTCTTTTACAACATGTTACCCGGTACTCTGATACAAGATTTAATTTCAAGTTAGAAAAATGACAGCATACAGACAGATAATGGTGACTTTTACTAGTTTACCGGTATGCAGTAATTGTTTGCCCATATACACACCGGCAAGTAGCGGCTGAAGAAATTACTGCAGACAATCATCAAGAATTACAAAAACGCCAGTTTCTAATTAAGTCAATGCCAAATTAATTCTCAAATGATACTGAAAACATTTTTATGTTATTATGAGAAAAAATTAACTTAACCAATCTGTAGTAATCTTGAATTGTTCTCTCTCTTCCTTCTGTATACATCTTTTGATGGAAATGAACAAGAGGAGTTTATGATCTGGATATCCGGTCATTTGAAGATGATTAATGTGGTTAAGAATTAGGTTGGAGGTTCATGGAGGCTAACTGTAAAGGAGTCAGCCTTCAACAGAGGCTTCCTCGCATTCGAGGCTAGTAACTACACTATCCCAGTTTGATGGAGACGGGCTTCTTGAAATTTAAATTTTCTTTTCTTTTTTTTTTTAGTAATTCAAATTGAGGGCACGGGGAGCGGAAAGAACCTGTATAAGGGGTAATGAGGAACGTTAATACAGAGAGTTACTATGAATGCGTCAGGAAAAACAAATACGGGCAAATCGACGAAGTGTATTTGAAGTACACCTGTGTTTAGAAGATTGAACATTGTAAAATACACGTATATGCCTAAGTTCTCGTGGTTTTACTGATGGAAATACAGAGTAGGGTGAGCGAGCACCATACTTTATTGTTTGCATTCCAGGTGGGCTAATAATGTCTTAGGAGATCTGTACTTTCCGTGATTCGTCCACAGCTACGAATTAAATTCGTAATTCTCTGCCCCAGGCGGCGAAACTTTTTTCTTAAGAGTCATATCGTAAGTAACTTAATATGAGGGCGGAACAGGAATTGAGCTGGAGGATATATACGGTTTTATTTCTCATGCGGCGAATGAAGGCACGTTTTAGTTATTCACGCAATTGATTTTTTATTACTTTCGATAAGCGAATAGGGAAACCAGATCACCTCATATTTTTCAAAGCAGCCGCTCGTGCAAAGGAAATGCATGCATTCCCATACTTGAGAACCTTTGACGATTATCCAATACCAAAGAGGATTGGAAAAATACAGTATACAGAGTATATTTAACAGTCACATTCTACAGTAGGAACTGAAAACAACACGCTGTCATCCACGTTCTTCAAATTTTCTTTTAAGAAAAAAAAATGCAGCCAATTTGAGAAAGAAATCTGCCTAGCTTTCCCAAGGTGGAAGGTACATGTATAGCAAAGAAAAATTGTTAATAAGACTAGCAAGTGCAGAAAATACATTGGGATTTCCTCAATATCCTAGTAATGGCAGAAGATGGTTTTGTTTTTGTCCTGTATCCTACGAATCATTCAATTGTTATAAGTAGGGCCCGGATTTTTATGACCTAAAAACTATAAATATATACATGCACTTATGGCCCAAAATTATGTCAAATATGACCTAAAAAGTGTAAAATATGACCTTAAATATTAAATGGGACATAAAATTTCACAATTTTAATTACAACTTTTACTAGAGTTTAAGAATAAAGATGATGAATATATGATAGTAGGTCCTACTTACCAAATTATCCCTATTATGTGTCTGAAAGAAAGAAAACTGATGGAATTTCGACATTTCGTACTGGATTAAACCATTCATTATTTTCTTTTTAATACTGATATTTGCGTTCATATTTTAGACAAACACTGCTGCATATGGTACAAACACTAACTTAACTCTGTTATCTAAAAACACCATTTAAAAGAACACAAGCTATTCACGTCTCAATTTTCACTGAGTTATTCATGTCTCAATTTTCACTGTTACAATTGCCATTTATAACTACATGCATTTTCAAATTTTCAAATTTTCAAATTTGAAAGATCGCCGATTATCACTAAGGATAGTTTTGTATTTGGAAAAACTTCGTTCCACATCACATGATGTGACAGGAGCATATTTGAAGAATGTCAAGTCGTTTGGTGACAGTTCTGTATCATCTTCGAATGTTGCTAGTTTACCGGAAAGTATATCTGCAATCTTGCATAATGTTGAATAACCAGCATTCCGATGAAGAACACTTTCTATTTTGGTTTTAATCCTGTCACTTATTTCACCACGAGTTCGGTTTAGTTCATTCTCAATGCTCTTTACAGTGTCCAACGCGTCACAGAGTTCAGTCCTTACAAATTCCAGGCGAGTTATTGCACCTGAAATTGAACAGAAGTTTGACTTTATGTATGCCAGATTTTGTGCTAGAGTGGTAGAGAATAAGTCCTTGACAGCTTTAATTGATGTTGACTCACTGCTGTCAAAGCCATTAAACATTTTCTCAATGGCTGTGTAATTTTCACAATAATATGCCACAGCATCCAACCATGTACCCCACCGTGTGACGACAGGCTGTGGAGGAAGTGGCAGTAGAGGAGCTTCTTGTTTAAATTTCTGCACTCGAAGAGGGGCCTTGATGAATATTTTCTTTCCGTTTGAAACTAGCCTATCTACATCAGGAAAATTTCCTCAAACTTCTTCAGCCACTCTATGCAATTCATGAGCAAGGCAAGTAATATGGACCATTTTCGGGTAGAGGATTCGAAGTCCTTTGGCAGCCTTCTTCATGTATGGAGCGGCATCTGTTACTAGGAGAAGGACATTATTTCGCTGTATTCCATTTGGCCACAACAACTTCATGGAATTATCAAATAGGACAGCTATAGTCGAATGATTTGCTCTTTCGAGAACTTCACAGTCAAGAAGAAATCTCTCTCCAGGTTGATCTTGTTTCAGGGTCCCAACTATAACATTCGCAATATACCGCCCATCTACGTCAGAAGTCTCGTCCAAGGAAACCCATATCTTGTTGTCAGCAACAGATGTTCGAATCTTATTTAACATATCTTCATAACATGTAGAGAGATAATTCTTTCTTAACGTCGATTCACTTGGGATAGGATGACTAGTGTATGTCTCCAAAAATTGTCTGAAGTGCTGATTATGCAATTTCTCTAATGGAATATTCGAAGATACCATCCACTGACACAAATCCTTCGAAAATTCCGACCCATTGTTCGTTGAAGAAGAAGAAGAAGAAGAAGAAGAAGAAGAAGAAGAAGAATTAGTGGAACTGTTTTTAAACAACAAACTTTGTCTGCTATCCTTTGTAGATAATCTGCTTAAACATTTACCATGTTTAAAAGTTTTACAATGCTGCTGCACAGTAAATCGCTTTTCTGCCGTAACTTTCACGCCACACAACTTACAATAAAATATCTTGCCAGCGGTACTAAACACTTTTTCACCAAACTCCTGTACAAAACTACGCAACTTTGCGCTCCTTGAACTACATGTACTCACTTTAGGCATTGTAAAGTCAAACTGAAGTCTTATAACGCCCTCCACATATATAAATAGAATACTTCTAAGCCCTCCAAGAAAGAATGGGATGTATATACCTTATATTAAGACGGAGTACAATAGGAGAATACCCGTTACACTTGCCTCCCTTCTGCCTCGACTGGGAAAGGCCGGCTTGCCAGGTCATAAATGCTGCATTTCACAAATTTTCGCCTTTGTAACTGCAAGTACAGTCCAGTCAAAAATATGGTTTTTAATACGAACTTCATGTACTTGAACTCTATTCCACATTGAAGCAACAGTCCAGCCTGAAATTTATTTTGTAATACTAAACATTGTGGAGCCGAAATTTTACATTATATCAAAGAATTGTTTCTAAAATGACAAAAATATGACCCTATTTCAAAATTATGCCAAAATATGCTGTAAAACCAATAAAACTCTAAAATATGAATTTTTATGCACAATAAAAACGACATAATTTCAATAAGAATGACTAGAAACATGCATAATTACATTTAAAAATAGGAATAAACCCTAGGAAAAAAATATGACATGTCATAGAAATCCGGGCCCTAGTTATAAGGATACCAGTGCTTTTTTTTTTCAGAGGAAGTTATGAGGAAATAAGTTGGTTGGACTCTAACCCACGTGCATTGATTAGGGTCTAAAATAAACCCAGGGAGGTTCCCTACTATCATGCCAAATCTGATAAAAAGAAAAAAAAATTATTAGTACAAGATACTTGTTTGTAGTTTGCTGAGAGAGCAAATTTTATCTCTCATCCTTAAGGTAGCCTGACTACAGGTACTTTAAACCAATATACTGAGAATCATGTATAGATCTATGAGGGATTATGAGGGATTTATTAGATACTTATAATTTAACACAAATAATTGAGTTTCCAACTAGAATAAGTACTACTTCTGTCTCATTGATTGATCATTTTTTTATAGACAAGAATGCTTATAACAAATTCCAAGTTTGTTCTGCTATAAATGGTCTCTCGGACCACGATGGGCAAATTCTGATACTTGGAGACATGCTGGTGATGAGGCAAAGTGATCATGTTAGAGCATATAGAGACATTAATGAGGAAAACATAGTATGTTTTCAACGGGCTTTACAGAATGAAAATTGGATAGAAGTTTATAATCAAGAGAATGTAAATATGAAATTTAATATCTTTCACAACATTTTTTTATCAATCTTTGAAAATAGCTTTCCCATAGTATATAAAAAAAAGAAAGACTCTAATAATTGGATAACGAAAGGCATAAGAATATCTTGTAAGCATAAGAGAGCATTATACATCTTAGTTAAAAAATCAAGTGATGATAGTTTGAAGTTATATTATAAAAGATATTGTAAGATACTAGTAAGAGTAATAAGAGAAGCAAAGAGACTGTATTATCAAAAATTAATAATTAATTCAGAAAATAAAATACAAGTAACTTGGAAGATTATTAATAAAGAATCCGGAAAAAA